CACACACACACACGAGAAATTACTGCATGATTTGACAGAAGTACAGGAATGTTTGTTTATGCTGAAAAAACTCAGACACYGCTTGCTGCTTCAACTCGCTTCTAGAATCCGACTGTTCTACACGAAAGGAGACATTTATACTGTAAGATAGTCAAATGGTCAAAAACTCATGGATTGAAACAGACATTGYGCTCGAAGCAATGTCTTCGCCAAAAACCATGGAGCTTTAACCRGGACAAATTTGWGGACAAATAATGTCGGGTGTAAGAGGTTTTTTTTTCCAGAGTGTAGACTTCCAGTGGGAAGAACCCGCATGCTGTGACGAGTACCACAGAGGGAGGGTTTTCCCAGGAGCTCAGTGCAGTGCATCTCAGGAGCTATGAAAGCAATGATTGCACATTGTTTGTTGGACATGCCAGTTGACTGTACTGAGCGCTTTAGTGAGAGGGAGGGAGGGGAGCACATTATGTCCCTCACTGCATGAGAAGAACAACTCCTGGCATACACTCATAAGTAAGTCCCAGAAAAAGCCTCTCTCCCATGTAGTGGGTTGTTAGGAGAGAAACAGAAAAAGWGATAAACTGTTTCTATCTTGCACTACACTCTTACCAAKTTGGGGCACCMGGTCAGTTACTGACCAGTATTTATTCACCCTTTTATTCACGCAGACTCCCTGTGACGGCTTGGCTTTCCATCTTAAAACAGCCTTATTAGACCCTGCCGGGTCGGCAAAACTTCTTATTGCAGTAATTAAATTTTTAATTTTTCCCTCAGAGGGTTGTTTGGTCATCTCAGGTCCTGGAGCTTCCAGCTCCAGCAAAATCCAACTCAAACTGGCTTTTATCAGTTTGCACTCAGCAGTGAGTGCTAGTCACAACACTAGATACCCAGGTCTCTGTCAGAAGTCAAAATATTTCTTTCTGGGAAAAATATGTTTACTSGACAGAGTGGTGTTGTGGTCAAACAGACAAGTATCAGTCGTTTCCTTCTGCTCAGGAGAAAAAAAAGAAGTCAGTTAATTTAATACTGGTGTGAAAATTAATGAYAGTTTAGAGTTGGGCGGCTGTGGAGCGGAGTGGTTAAAGGGGCAATATCAWGTAAAATCAAACWTTTTGAGTTTTATATCATGTTATCATGTTATACTCTCATAAAAACCATGCCCAAAGCCTTGCTTTGACTCATTCATGCATGTTTGAGAAATCCTGCAGCGTTTTTAGGCAGCCATGCTGAGGAGCAAACTGACAGGTGGGGGACTAGAAACGCCTTTTGGTACCAGAAACGCACCTGGGACGTGTCTTTAAGCCGTGCTTCCTCACCACGGAGCACACCTCCCCACCCCCCACCCCACACACC